TACGGAGCAGTAGAGAAACGAAAATCCTTTATAATAAAATACACTGTTTACTATTACAAATTTTTGTTATTATTAATAAAGATTTTTCGCGAATTTACACGTTGGGGAAGTAGAAAAATGGGGCTTTTACTGAAAACATGCATATGATGCAAAACTGCCAAAAGCCATTAAGCCATAGTATTTAAATAGGATTGTGAAACTCGTTATCTTACATCTATCAAGCTTATGTAGTTATATTATATTCCGATTGCCAACGCATAAAGAAACACTTACTGTAGAGAACAGCCGATATATTTCGTTACCCCTGCCAAAAAATAGCCAAGTACTCATCTTTCAATGTAGCGGATCGACTGAACATTAAAGCTTGTGATGGAGAGAAGTGAATTTTTGGTTTATCCTTCGGCTCAGTGGCAGTGGCAGTGACAGTGTGCTGTACGGCCTACGTTTAAACCGTTTATACAGTACATAATTACTGCTTTGAATTCACTTTCTTTCAATCCGTTTTGAATATTCGGAATCATTCACAATATTATACTGAGACGATCCGAAAACCTATTCACCCCCCACCCCTTAACTAAACATACAATTCGGTGTAAGGTTTAAAAATTGACGTGTATTATACTATTATTCTATATATAATTTAGGGGCCATTCACAAAGGATGTCCGGCCAAATGATGGATTTTCAGCCCCCCCCTCCCCCCCTTGTCCGGCATTGTCCGAATTAATGACCCCCCCCTCCCCCCGGACATCCGCCATGCCTCGCAAAAACTCACGCAACCTTGTATATATTAAGAGTAAAAAACTTTTTTACTTTTAGAACTTTTTTATAACTGTAAATGTGAACACAAAAACATATAAATTACTAATTAAAACAAAATCTAGTGTTAACCGCATAGTCAAAATTTCAATTTCACAATGGGAAGGACTGCTCAAAATAGAGGGAAAAAGAAATTTGTTTTTGAATTTTTTTAAATTTCGGACATCCGGATTGCTAAACCCCCCTCCCCCCTATGTCCGAGTTTGTCCTGATTTTCCAAACCCCCCTCGGCTCGGACATCCTTTGTGAATGGCCCCTTAGGTAAACTCTAAAAGAAAAGCCGTACAGCTGCATATGACATTCGGTTAAAAAATTAGAACGCTGACTTTTTCGCGTTCTCTTTTTTTTGTCGTAAACAACTCCATATACGGAAGTTTGTTCCATATATGGAGAAAGACGTGGAAACAGATTTTTAAAAAATGCTGATTTTAAAAAATGCTGCATGATTTTAAAAAAATTACGAAAATCTTTATAGAGGTATAAACTGTTCACAATTTTACCACTTTTTGAGCACTATTTTGAGCACTTTTTAGCCCTTTTTGCCAGAACTTTGTTTGGATTTTACCAGCGCAATCGGGAAGGCCTATTAAATAATAGCTCGAATAATAGTGCATTTCGATATGCGTGCGTACTCGACCAAGTATTTGGGAATGTATGCTTTTTACACGTACTCGACTTCAAAAGACAGCAAACGGCTGTACGATTTGTTAGCTCACTGGACCAAAAGTAAACGGCTGTACTCATTATTGTAACGCATATTGTGTGTACTCTATCTAGTTTAGGCTATAGTCAAAATGTCCATCACATGTATCTAAAGACTAAACTATCAAACTTTATAATTCCATCGGAATCGAAATACTGATCTACATGCGGCTGCCGGGCAGTATTTTTAAAATACTACGTGGCCGGCAGTCAGGAAACACGTACAGCACACTGGGCCGAAGGATAAACCGAAAATTCACTTCTCTCCATCACAAGCTTTAAGGGACCGTTCATTATTTATACCTGGGGTTGATACCGAAGAGAAGCGAAAAACACTGTAATTTTTTTATTTACCCAACCTCAGCATTGGTCAAAATAATGTTTACCCAACCCATGTGTTACTGTACTTAATAATTAAACACACAAGATTATATGGTGACAGAAATCAAGTTGCCTAAATTTTAAAAGCTCACTCAGACTCAAACTCACTGAGTGTGCCAATGGAACCACGTTCCTGCTGATCAATAATAGAGTCCTTCCTCAATCACTGATGGTCTACTTTGGTACAGAATGTATTGTGCACATTTTTCTTCATATTTTCCAATGCATGGTAATTTCGGTTTTATTTTATAGCTGACAGACAGCCACAAATTTTTTTACCCAACCCATGAGCTAGTCAAAAACTTGATTACCCAACCCATATCTCTTCGGTACCAACCCCGGGTGTAAATAATGAACGGTCCCTAATGTTCAGTCGATCCCGGCTACATTGAAAGATGAGTACTTGGCTATTTTTTGGCAGGGGTAACGAAATATATCGGTTGTTCTCTACAGTAAGTGTTTCTTTATGCGTTGGCCAACGGAATATCCGAATATAATATAACTACATAAGCTTGATAGATGTAAGATATACGAGTTTCACAATCCTATTTTAAATACTATGACTTTTGCCAGTTTGGCAGTTTTGCATCATATGTGTTTTTCAGTAAAAGCCCCATTTTCCTACTTCCCCAACGTGTAATACGCGAAAAAACTTTGTTAATAATAACAAAAATTTGTAATAGTATTAAAACAGTGCATTTTATTATAAAGGATTTTCGTTTTTCTACTGCTCCGTACTTCGTGTGCTCCGTGCTCCGTGTGCTCCGTACTCCGTGTGCTCCGTGCTCCGTGTACTCCGTACTCTGTGTGCTCCGTGCTCCGTGTCCGTGCTCCGTGTTTTACTAATAGCCGTAAAAACATTAGGTCACGTCAGCTAGTTTCCTATCCATTTATTTTACTATCCATGGTTACGGATATATGTAATGTAAAATATTCTAGCGTGAGAATCTGTATTTTACCGTATTATGCCGTATTGAGCATGTGTATATTTTCCCCATAATATACCGTAAACTTCCGAATGAGAAGCCTCTGGGTTTTATTCGTTCGTAACCATTTTTTGACGGACTTATACACGGCTGGGCTTATATCCGGACGAAATTTGGCATTAAGAATATTTATTGTAACTGTAATTAAACTACACCGTAAACGAAAGGAAATATATAACAAGTACGATCGTACTACAGGGTGTATCAAAAAAAGTAAGACCATTTTGAAATTGCTCTCAATTCCACAATTCTGTTTATGAAATGTAATTTTTTATATGTATGGATTGCTTGAGTTCCTAAATTATGGAAAATATAAAAAAATTTGAAAATAGTAAATTTTGCTATCCAGGGGGGTGGTCAACTTTTGCTCTCCTAAAAGTGGCTTGCGCACGGAAATGACAAACGGTATTCTTTATTTGAGTTCATGTGTGAAAAGTTCGCTATTTGTTGCATTTATGATAAAATTTTGGCAGGATTTTACCGAGTACAAATCCTACGAAAAGCCTATGAAAACGTTGCATTTTTCTCTGTTGGTGCTGTTCTTGCTTCATTATAAATTCATTTTTACTCCCATGAGAGTTCCGTGGAATTTCCATGGAATTTGTGCTTTCGAGTTGTTTGTGCTGAAACGCATTCTCTCATATAATACCCCGTACACTTTGAAATGGCGATGCCACAATTTACCCCGCAGCAGAGAGCTTTTATGGTATCAGAGTTCCTCCGTAGCAACAACATAAACTTGGTTCGCCAAAGTTTCACGAACGAATATCCAGATGTACGATGCCTTCACGTATTCGCACGTGAAGGGAATCGTACATGCATCTGGATATTCTTTCGTGAACTTTGGCGAACCAAGTTTATGTTGTTGCTACGGAGGAACTCTGATACCATAAAAGCTCTCTGCTGCGGAGTAAATTGTGGCATCGCCATTTCAAAGTGTACGGGGTATTATAGGAGAGAATGCGTTTCAGCACAAACAACTCGAAAGCACAAATTCCATGGAAATTCCACGGAACTCTCATGGGAGTAAAAATGAATTCATAATGAAGCAAGAACAGCACCAACAGAGAAAAATGTAACGTTTTCATAGGCTTTTCGTAGGATTTGTACTCGGTACAATCCTGCCGAAATTTTATCATAAATGCAACAAATAGCGAACTTTTCATACATGAACTCAAATAAAGAATACCGTTTGTCATTTCCGTGCGCAAGCCACTTTTAGGAGAGCAAAAGTTGACCACCCCCCTGGATAGCAACCACGGTTATGGCCTCCATCGAATTACCTCTTCAATATAATGGTACTACTGACAACCCTCCAAAGCTCCGACTAATCGTGTGACGGAGCGAAATTGTTAATCAAAGTTAACAAAGTTCGATTAGCACCATTCCTGCATGGGTTAAAATTTAACCCGCTGTTTTGGTTAGTATATAATAATAATAATAATAATAACACTTTAATTATTGAGGATAAACAGATAAAGTTACAACTTTTTTTCAATCTGGTATACATACCTCCTAAACTGAGTAAACTCTACAGACACAACTATACAATAACATTAAAAATTACTATTTTCAGTACTTCCTAAGAGTATGAACAAACGAAATCATGGGTATTTAATGTAAAGTATTAACCATAGATATATGTAGTATATCTGCGCATCTGTTTAAAAACTTTATGAAATACAAACTTAATTGCCCTGGACAAGATTTTCTCACCGGGAAAATGTTTATTTTTATAAACAAAGGTTTTTCGTTAAGGATTAACTGGCTTTTGAACAACCGGCCCTCGTGTTCAACAATGACACTTGCTAATTATATAAATAAAAAATCTAACAAAAAAGTTGACAACCGTACTAAAATACATGCAGTTTTGTGTCAAGTTAACAAGTAAATGGACTTGTGTTCAACACAATTCATTGGAGAGAAAAACTAGCCGCGGTAAGTTGTTATAGCTAACACTTTTTCAAAATGATGTATATACGCATATATATGCACTTCTCACTTCAATGTTGAAACGATCTCGGCCATTATTTGATGAACTTGTATATGCGCTCTCTATTTTTAGTCGTAAGAGTTGCGATATTTCGAAAGTTTCAGAAAGAATTTTGCAGAGATGAAGTTTTGGTTTGTTGTAGTTTGGTCAATCGCGGCTGGCATTCATTGTGACTGCGTTGAGGAAAGTAAGTTTTTCAACTTTTTTATTACAACGTACTAAACTAATTAAAGTATATACACTATACAATTAATATGATTGTACTATTCAGCGGGGTACATTATAATATAACATCAAGTAAATGATCAGAAAAGATATAAACACCAGGACCACGGTTTAATATCTGAAAAATATTTGTACGCCAAGACTATCCATGAATAACAATGTAGTACAATGAATTTGTAGGGGAGTCCGGGGGTATGCTTCTATGACTATGGGAAACTTTTAAAATCTGGAGTCGGAAGAGTGCCTTTTTTCAGCAATTTGGTGGCTATTTTACATTGTTTTAATTTTGAATCATCATTTATCCCCCTCCAATAAGGCCCCCTCAAAGTACCTGAAAGTAAAAACAATAAGCGGTCTCGGGACTTTATAATAGAGAGATTACGGAAGGTATAGTTTTACAAAGGTTGATTTCAAAGTGGATAGAGATATCTGACCTTCGTACAACAGGTCGCATGCAGGTATTTACACTTGAAACTAAAAGATGGCGAGAAATTCAGTTTATAAAATTTATCTGATCGATATAATCAAGTACTACTTATATTATACTGGGATTCAACCTAGACCTATATATCGGTTAATTTGCGAACGTATTCGGCAATCGCGAAAAAGTTCAATCATACTGATCAGTTATTGCATTGCGTCCAATTCAGTCAATTCACGAAAGAGTTTATTTAAGAGCTTCTGCAGGTTATTTATTATTAACGTTCTTGTGTGATAATCATTATTATCTTCAAGGAGGCTAACCAAGTGGTACAGTAACCCTTGAGATGATTGTCAAACATACTAGTTGAGTTGATTTTCTTTCAGAAAATGTACCGCGGGATGTATATGAACTACAAGTTAAAATCCGTTCATAAATTATGACATTAAACTTGTAGACAAAATCTTGAGCGAAAGTCTTTGAGGTTGACGAAAAATTGTTCGAAAACCTCCTCAGCTTGGTCGAGAAATTCCCCCTTTGTTGTTGGTAAAATTACTGGAATAGCAAAAATTACAAGATAGCGACATTAATCTGTACCTGTTAGTATACTGTAGAATGTTAATTAAACATTAAAAACTCCACAGTTCGATCATTACAAAATACAACATCAGACATAAGTTACAATAATACTGACATTGTATTTAATTCCTGCATGTAACTTTACGCAAAGGAGTTTGTCTCTGGGTATGTTATGTAAGTTATGTAACTAGCATTGGCCAAGATCACAATTTTTCTGAGGATCTTCATACTCGGTGTCTGAAATGCCCTTGCATGCGCAGGTTAAAGTAAGATTAAGAATTGCCTCGGGCATGCGCAATTAATTTTACCTTAAAATAGTTTTATATTATAATATAGAATGATGTTACAATTAAGTTGATATTAAATTAAGTTAATAGAATAAATGAAAGTCAATGATCTTGGTTTCAAATAATATAATCATAATTTCGGTTTGCAGGTGTTTCCTTCAAAGATTACGAAACGTTGCTTGGAAAGTCCATCTACGTTCCAACTGCGGACCTCCTAGGTGCAATTCCCAACGGTATAACTTTCTTAAAGAATATCTCCAAGGAATGTTACAACAAAATCAAACGTCAAAAAATGGTAAAAGATCAATCGTTTTACAGAAACACTGGGCAATTTTACAAAAGCATTGCGACAACGACAAACCTCCATGCTGGATACGAGAGTAAATTCACTCTTGGCTTCACCTTAGATGCGGCGACTAAAAGCATTAGTGGAAACAACCGTAAAGTGAGTGGAACTTCACTCAAAATTGTTTCAAAGAATTACGAGTTGCAGTTTAAACCAAATTGTCTTTATGAATCGGATCTTCAAGAAAGAGTATTGAATGACTTCGCCGCACTACAAACCAGCATCTCCATGCCATGGTACAAAGATTCATGGAGAGATTATGACGTATTTCTGCAAACACATGGCTCACACGTGATCACAGCAGTCACGTATGGAGCCAGTATTAATCAGCATGCATTTGCCAAGGAGTCGTCGAAATACAAGACCAAGGACTTTACTGCTAAAGCTTGTTTAGCTTTGGCAGGCGACATAAACACAATTATGAATTTGTCGTTATCTGCTTGTGCTGGGTTGACAAAAAAAGACGTAATGAATATTACCAATGCTGAAATGACGTCAACCATAACAGTACGAGGTGGAACACTTGAAACCAGAAGCAAGCTACTTTATGAAAGGACAAAGGAACTTATCCTCAAGTTCCTTGAAGAAGGCAAAGAGAATCCTTCACCAATCGAGTTTAAGCTCACTCCAGTCTGGCAAGTTCTGAACGGTCAAAAACAAGTGAAAAAAGAAAACCCGAATAGAGCAGCCCAAGCTGCTAACATGCAATACTATTATGAAGGATTCCTTAATTTCGATTGTCCGTATATACCTGCAGGTGAGCGTGGACCAGTCATACAAAAATTTGACCATGCTGAACATTCCACACCACAACATCCCGTCTATCAATGCTCGCTGGCTCCACCAGGTTGTCATAGCAACCAAGACTGTCACCATCGCTTTGGTTTAAAATGCGCATGTTACGGAAAATCTTGCATACGCCACAAAGACATAGAGTTGAGTTCTGGAGAAACAAAACCAACAGCCGCGCCGTATGAAAATAAAAATGATTTTCTATGGCAGGGATGCAGATGGAAGGTGATTGGAATCACCTGTGGATGCAAGGATGAAAACAAGAAAAGAAGGGTGATATTCGAAAATCTTCATTTGGAAAAACTTTCTCGGCATAATTAAAGTTATGTATTTCTGTCAATCACGAAATAGAAATTCAAAGTGTGCAAATTCACTATTTCATTCAGACTGTGCAGTCAGTTTTATCTAACGTCCACCAGGAATGAAGATTGGTCGGTCTTTGCAATGTTCTAAATGGATGTCTTTGCCACCAATCTAAATATTTTAATATTCCCCTCCCCCCTCCAAAAGACATAATTTATTAAATTAAATGAAATATTATGTATCAGGGCCTCTGGGATTAATCCCTCCCCTAGCTCCCCCCCCCCCCCACACGCACACATTAGTCCCAATGTTGGTCCCTTCAGTGAAATACAGGTACCTGTATTTGGCCCAACTAATTTAGGTACCCATTTCGATCTGTCTCAAATAGAAACTTAATATAATAACTTAAAGATAGTGTTAATTTTAGTATTCGGCATTCCCCAGCCTAGTTCCTGGCCTTCTCGCTTCCGCCTCATTATTTTAGGGGGAAATCGACAAGGTTTGCAGGTTGACCTGGATAAAGCTGCGACCCAGTTCGGATATTTTGCGAAACTGACAGCCCGCAAGTTCATGACAGCCTGTAACTCGCACGCACTTGAAAGGTCAGGGACTAGGCTGAGCATTCCCATGACCAAACCTTCGTTGAGACCTTGAGCAATAAATTTAAGAGGTCCAATTTAGCAAATTTTCTCTCACTTGTTCGGGCTCGTATTGTCAACGGCCATCTTACACAAAATTTCCAGCTCAGAGTAGAATACAAAGCTTTCAATATTTCACCGCAAGTTCGCTTGAAATACGAGCTGCTGTACTGGGAGAATATTAACTAAATATGACCAGCGTGTTTATTCAATCCCCGAGCCAACGCCGCGGAGCGCCGATTTGGGCGTAAGCCCGGGGCGAGGGTGCTAATTCGACCCGGCTATTTTCCCCGGGGAGAAAGGAAAGCATTAGCGAAGTCTAAAGTTCATCAATAATCGCGGGCGTGGGTTACCGTGCGTGCGAACCATGAATAGCGAACACTGATTGGTCCAATCTCTATGGTCCAATTTAAAATTTGCAGCAAACATTTCTTGATTTCTTGCAAATACATTTTATTTTTGCAAGATTCTGTAAATTTCAAAAGCTTTTTGAGAAAAAAGGCGAAATAATTGCAAAAAGAAGGGAGCAAAGACGCTCACGTTAATGAAGGTAAGTTTGTTTCAAATATTGATGTATTGTTTCCTTTATAATTTCTTCAAAAGCTGATCGTTGTGTATCATGAAAAAAGAATGCAGCATATAATTTCATTGTATCTCTATTGTTTACCCTTTTTTATTATATTTTTTTAAATAAAAAAGAAAGCAAAGTTATTTGCATGCGATTGCGTAAGCCGTATAGTCATAGTTAATTAATAGAATATGGTATAATAACATACCGAACATTGGGAAATTGATAATTTTGTAATTAAAAGTGATATTTTTAGGGGGTCAGTTCAAATTACAAAAATATTCTTAATAATATCACCGATCATGTTACCATGACAACTACTTTAAATATACTTCATGTTCGGAAAGGGCGAGGATTTCTGCATGCATGTATTTTCTAGTTATAATGACCAATCATGCATATTGAGTTACACAATTAATATCGCCACTATTTCAGTACAAATACGAAAAACGTGAAAGGTTTGTTTACGCCGACTAAATCACATCTGGATTTCTTTTAATGGAAAGTATTGATATTAGTTCTAAAATATTTGTAACGATCCCTGGGGTCCTTTGAATTTGCAATTTAAAATGTTGTCAAAATTAACAAAGCTAGATTAGCACTATTCCTAGATTACAATTGATTTCGAAAGTCACCGAACTGTGGAATCGCATAAAAAATTTGTATGTCGGCCACTCCCACAAACGTCTATGACCGCACTTACATATTTTTGCATGTTTACAATGCTAATTTTGAACAGCCAATCCAGTTCTTGGTAACAATTACAATTAAACGTCGATTGGCTGTTTAAAATTAGAATTGTAAACGTGCAAAAATATGTAGGTGCGGTCGTAGACGTTTGTGGGAGTGGTCGATATACGAATTTTTGATGCCATTCCACAGTTCGGTGACTTTCGTAATATAACTCCCGCTGTTTTGGTTTGTATATATCTGCGCGTCTGTCTAAAAAAACTTTATGAAGCACAACTTTAATTGCTCAGGACAAGATTTTGTCAGTGGAAAAACATTTTAATTTATTTTTATAAAGCGGTTTCAGCACGGTTAGCACATGCACGATTGTGATAAAAGAATAGCTGTATTATAATTATAATTATATTTTATGAATATGTAAATTAATGGATTATATAAGGAGCCCAGAGTTTGAAGCGAGCAGAGGAAAAACAGGACAAGCAAGGAAGGAGTTCCTAAACATTAAAAAAAACCGACGAAGACCTTCAGGAGAAGAACAACTTGGAAGGACATCTTGCTTTTGTTGGAAGTATACTGAAGTTCGCTGACTATATACGCTCAAGTTCATTTGAGATCGACAGAAAACCATCTCGAAGCGATTTAAGAATATTCAGATTGTTTATAGCAAGTTTCGTCACGCTTTTGTTCATAAGACATATCCGTTGAAATTCTCAACAAACAAGATACGACGCTGTTATATGTTTGATACTACGCGGAAAGTTAAGCGCTGTGGGCTAGCTGAAGAAAGAAGACGTAAGTAGCTACACTCTGTTGGACTCGGGTTTGTTAAAAAAAAATACTTTAGGAAATTAGATAACTCTTAGTAATTACAGAATTAAAACCTTTATGTTAAGGTGGCTCAATACACTTTTAATTTAACGGAGAATGGGCACGAGTTATTGCTAAATCACGCGTGCGAATATCGCGCGAGGGAATTACGAGGAGTGGAAAATCCGCGCGTGGATTAAATGCCTAAAATTAAAAATTGCCGGGAAATTTAAAAATAAACAAACATGGCATTTAATTGGCATCGTTTCTTCGCAAATTTCCGCAATTTCCGTTTCAACAATACATCAGAAGTGTTGAAATATTATTTAACGAGGAAAAAGTCGTTCAATTGCAGTCATTTTATTAACGAGCGTAGCGGCAGGCACGTTCTAGCGTCAAAAATCGACAGCGATGATCGAGGCGAACGCGTACATTTCTGGCAAGCAACTGGATTTATAGTTACGGCTTTTTGCACCGTATTTTCGCTAAAAAAAATTCAAGCGGGGACAGATGACACGAATGAAGTTTCACGTACTCCATCAACGAACACACTTTGGCAAAACAGAAACGCTAGTGGGAAGTTTGCGACAAGAAATAAAAAAAAAAAAAAACTTTCTCGAAAGTAATGCCATTATTGGCAATGCAAAACGAAGATTAAACTTCGATGAAAACGCAAATGAAGATTTATGCCCACCATCAAAAAGAACAACACGCAGTACACAGGTGAGTGTTTAATAAATTACAGGTAATATCATTTGCTTGAAATCAACAATGACAATATTTTTACATTACAGACTTTGAACTAAGGGCAAGGCAAGGATTTTAGTTAAAGCAAATAAATTAATATCAACCATTTCTCCAAAAATTGTAGAGCCAAGTTGAAAATGTCTCCCACATTCCTCTTGGTTGCCGTATTGTTGATGTACAAGTATTGCAAAAGGGTCTTTCGACTTGCAGTTATTGTTCTAAAGGTTTGTGCTTTTATCAGACTAAGCTGATGTATACTTCCAAAATAAAATTTTCCTTCCATTGATCAACCTAAATCTCCCAGCTGCAGGATTTTTCTTGATATTCCATATTGATGTGCTATTGATTGCATTCCAGCATCTAGATAATATGTTGAAAAATTGGGTTAGAGTTACATTTATGTTACATTACAATTTAATATACTTATCTTATTTCAGGCCCATTGTCATTGAACAACATCATAAAGGAAGATATGGTTGGTGTTGCAAGCATCTTGTATATCAAATGCAATCTATGTGGCAAAATCAACAAGGTTAAAACATCTTCTGAACACAGAAGTGGACAACGTGGACGATTAACCTTCAACATTAATTCTAGAGCAGTACTTGGTTCACTTCAAGCTGGTATTGGTAATACCCACCTGAATAACCTATTTGCACCAACGAATGTACCAACGATGAACAACAGGACATTCAAGTCACGAGAACGAGAAGTTGGAAAAGCTGTCGAGGACTTGGCACAAAAAAGCTGCAAAACAACCATTGAAAGGGAAAAGGATATGGCTGAGGAAAACGGGGAAGTTGCAGATGAGAACGGCTTGGTTGGCATACCAGTATCTTA